GATCCAGGAGTTCGTTTAAAGACGACCACTCCGCCGGATCCATCCGTCAGGAGTATTCGGAGTCAACACGGAGGCGATTTTCAATGACCTACGAAGTCATCGTCGGCTTAACGGCCGAACGGGCGGTCATGGTAAAGCCGCCCAACCGGAGGGTTTGGCCTAAGGCCAGAGCTCCTCCGGAGGTGATACTGTCTTTGATAACGAGGCGAGCCATCAACCCTAACTTCGACGTCACAGTGGAACTCTCAATGAAAGCACCAATGTCGGTGTCAAAACCGGCGGATCTTGGGTAGGGGGTCCCGAACTGTGCGTCTAAGGTCGATGGTAACAGGAGGCAGGGGACACGATGTTTTACCCAGGTTCGGGCCCTCTTGATGGAGGTAATACCCTACGTCCTGCTTCATTAATCTTGATAAATATGAGGATTACAAGAGTTGATCTACCACGAGATCATTGTAGCTAAACCCTAGAAGTCTAGCTTGTATGATTATGATTGTCCCTATGGACTAAACCCTCCGGTTTATATAGACACCGGAGGGGCCTAGGGTTATACAAAGTCGGTTACAGAGAAAGGAAATAATACATCCGGACGCTTTAGCTTGCCTTCCACGCAAAGGAGAGTCCCGTTCGGACACGGGAGAAAGTCTTCTACCTTATATCCTCATGGCCCAATAGTCTGGCCCATGTCACACAGGCCGAATGCCCGAGGACCCCTTAATCCAGGACTCCCTCACCCCTCTCCACAGTTTCGTCCCTCAGTCATATTTTCGGAGTGCTTAGGCAAAGCCCTGCGGAGATAGCATCACCACCACCGTCACCACGCCATCGTGCTGCCGGAACTCATCTACTACTTCATCCGTCTTGCTGGATCAAGAAGGCGAGGACGTCACCGAGCTGAAGGTGTGTTGAACGCGGAGGTATCGTTCATTCGATACTTGATCGGTTGGATCGTGAAGAAGTTTGACTACATCAACCGCGTTACTAAACGCTTCCGCATACGGTCTACGAGGGTACGTAGACACACTCTCCCCTCTAGTTGATATGCACCTCCATGGATAAATCTTGCGTGTGCGTAGAATTTTTTTTTGTTTTCCATGTAATGTTTCCCAACACCAGTTACACCCACAACCCCTGCTGCTATACCTATTGGACCAATTATTAGAACTCGCGCACGCCAGTTCAATTATCACGTACTTTTGTTTCTTGGTAATGTTTCTGATGTTCATGAGAATATGATGCTGCCTAACTTATATACATTTGTGTTGCTTACAATTGAAGGGCCTAGCTAGCATGGATAAGAAGGATGAACATTTGAGCATGATCAAGTATGGAGATGAAGACGCGTGTGAAGAGAACAAGAACGAAGGTCCCAGTGGAGATTTCTGCACTTTGAAGCCAACATGATGACATACAAGAAGATGGACAAAATATACAAAATGACCTTTCAAAAATTTCATCCATAGCTTATTATTGGTGCTGCGCTACCTTATTTTTGGGCCAGGCCCATGTAATTTCGAAATACTATCTCGTATGCTATTTTTAGAGTCTATATTGTACAGAAACGACTCATGAGGGGTTTTAGTCCCACCTTGCCAAGGGTGGACGAAATCCTCTGTCTTTTCCCTATAAATACAATTCTTAAGGCATCGTTTAGACTTGGGTTTTATTTAGTTAAATGTTAGCCATTGTTGGAGCTTAGTATATTTCGTTTATGTCCAACCACCAGGCCAAGACCGCTTTTGAAACCCCGTTGTTATCAATACTTCATCCATATTCGCAATATTCAGATTGCTTTTATCATATTCTTGCTCATTCTTTGATTGCTGGCAGGAATAGACCTTGGTGGTCAGGCTAATTATGCTTTCGGCATCGTTAGTAACCTCATGAGCCAAGATGGCAATGGGGCCCCGAAACCCGCGTCCCCGCGGGTTTTTACCCTATTAGGGGACGGGGATGGGCGTCTTTTTAACCCCGCGGGGCTGTTGTTGGGTAAAGTATAAAACCCGACACGTTTCACAGGTTCAAACCCGTTTCAACAATACCCGAACCCGAAACCCGCCATCCCCGTCAAAATACTACAATAAGCATATTCGAGGAGTATAATCTTGAGAGTGATGATGATCATGGACATTCGTCTTGCTCATTCTCTTCTTTGCAAGAGCCAATTCGTATGCCACTGTTCAATGAACATGTTGCTCGAAAATGGCCAACATCTTTTAGTATAAAATCTGAGCTAGACCGTTACCTGGAAGATGAGCTAGTTCCATTGTTCAAAGATAAATTCAGTGTGTTAGATTGGTGGAAAGTTGGTGGAACACGCTATCCAACTTTGAGGCTGCTAGCACGTGATATTTTTGCAACTCCGATCAGCATGGTTGCCTTGGAATCAGCATTTAACACAAGTGGTGGAATTCTAGTTCTAAGTGGTAGAGCTCCAGTCCTTATGTTTCCTTAAATATGCCGATTTCCCCGTGGGTTCCCCGTGGGTTTTGAAACCCCGATGGGTTTAGGGGATGGGCAAAAAGCTAGCCCTGCGCACGGTGACGGGGACGGGGACGGGCTTGCGATTTTTTCGTGGGGATGGGTTTGGGAAGGCAAAACTCGGTGGGTTTCGTCCCCGTTGCCATCTTGACTCATGAGATTGGTTTAGCTATTGCTAAGATGCAACGCCGTACACGTTTGTAGTCAGATCGTCAAAGTCGGCTCTCCACCAAAACGATAGATATCATATCATCGAAAGATCGGGACACCCTCGCATCTATCAAAATTATTCGCATAATGTAGGCTCCGCTACAACCGTATTACTTGCCTTGTGAGAAATAATGATAGTGTGTGAAGTATCCGATGGTGTATAGTTTGTGCATCTACTTCCCATTTCATATTAGTGTCACTAATTTGCATTTCTAGGCTTAACAACCCAACGAATTGAGGAGTTGCCGCATGCAATGAAGCATGTGCGCGCTTGTGAGTAATCTCGATGTGCACAAGCTCACAATTGGTTTAGATTTG